ATCAATGATAAAGAATGGAAAAATTTGCAACAAATAAAAAATTGTAATAATCGAAGCACACTCCATATTACAATTCCTTTCATGCAAAGTCCGATGAACTGCGATTGTTCAACCGAGACGAGACTCAGTTCGCCATCGGCAAGGCGCACGCCGGATGTGCATTGCACTCACAGAAAATTGAAAGGCTGATGCGATCCGCGAGGAGAACGCGCGCGAGATTATTCCGCCCGGTCTCGTGTTCCCTCGTCGCATCCACCACTCGACGAATGCAAACCATGAATATCTGCAGAAACCTTCGATCCACACGCTTGACTGCTTCCGCACTCCTGAGAAAAATTCCCGACGAGATAACTCGCCATACTAGCATCTCGCCACGTCGCGATTCTGTGTTCCAACACGAGGGGAGATTATGGGGATGATACATAGAGTGGAATAAAGAGCGATTTAACCCCTTCACGGTTATACACTCTCACAAGGTATGGAAAAAAAGTACATTGTTGTATACTCGTACATTATTGTTATTATTTTTAGTCAATTATAAAAACTGTTTTGTTCAATTAATGGAAGTGATCGATTGAAACCTTTGACTGCCGTGCACTGGACCCATACGAATGCGATTCTATCTCATTTGTAACAGGTATGAAACGAGTCAATTCAAACTTTTAATATTAAAACAACTACACAGCATCACATGAATGAAAATGGACGTAGACGAGTACAACAGAATTCTCAATGGACTATTCGCAACGGGCATTTTTCTCACCAGGCTTGTACCTCTGTATTTCTGTACTCTTGTATTTATCATCCCCTCGTGAATCCTTCCATCTTCACGTTCATCCATATTCATCCTGTTTGCACCGCGTGTCACCGACAAGCTTCCGCAACCGGAAATAGTGACAGCAACGAGAACAACGATCGTCTCTCTCACTATCGATTAGTATCATCTTCGATCTCGCCAACCAAGGGAGAGAAGTCCCTAGAGAGAGCGAACTGATTCGTCGTCATAGTGCAAAGGAGAATCATTACAGGACTCGGAGCGTGAGAGGCTCCGAGAGATATGGCCCCGAAGGGTATTTACGGGCGATAGCTATTCGGGAAGTGCCCGAGGCGTTTATAAAGTCCCATCAAACCCTCCGGAGGAAACCGTCCGACCGCGATGTCAATCATAATCGCGGAGCTGTAAGAACCCATGCTTGGCACGTGTCCGTTGGCAACTTCCGCGGTAAGATAAGGATTGAGCAGTGTACACTGGGAGAAATATTCTCAATACATAACGTCTCCCTGGATTCCTTGAGGGATACAATGTGTTAAGTTTTCTTCGGCGAAAATTTTATTAAATACAAGCTTATTTCCCAATAGAAAAGTTAAGGTTTATTACCTTTTATTATTTTACAAAACTTTAAGAAAAGTTTTATTTCTCCGATACTTGAAATTTTTAGATTAAGTATTTTTTTATACAGATTAAGTATTTTTTAATTACACAATATAAATTAAATTTAAAATTAATAAATTTCGCGTTTAATAAGCTAGCGGGATGTAAAAACTTTTAGATCACTATTTGTAAATCTCGATTGTAACTCGATTTACAACTCCCCGAAAGTGCATCGTCTTGAATAAGAAAGAACGCTCGGCTTTAACATCCACCTTCTATCGCATGACTAACTATACCCGCGACATGCGATTTTGCGATTGTTTGTAAGAGGAAGCTGTCGACTTCCGAGCTTTACCTTTGCTCGTGAAAAAAGAAGAGCTGAGTAACACGTGGAGACTTGATACGCCAACCACAGTATTTGTTGACCGTAAGGTAAGATAATAAAAAAGTTCTTTTATATTTCGCTGTAATTTGCTTATTAAAGATGGAACTTTGAATATTCGTGCGTCACAACATAAAAATTCAAATAATAGTTTAACAAGGATGTTAACAAAATTATAAAGCGATTGAACTCCATTTTTTCACACTTATCTTCTTAATTAACAAATAGGACAAAACAGTTACATAGCCAATTACGAAGCCAGTAAAAGGATAATAAACAAAAACAAGCTCATTGTTTTTCTTGAAACTTTTAGAAACAGCTAACAATGTTGGGCTTAAATTGTCTCGTAACTTTGTTATCCACTTGTAATCACTTAATACTTTCCAGCTGGATTTTCCAGCTGCAATTTCATTATTTACCATAGGCAGTTTGTTTCTTCTCCAAGACGGTGATATGAGTTATCAATAACGTGACGGCACAAGTAAACGAAACGTTCAGCATAAAGAGTAATAACATGTTAATGAAAACAGATCAAATATTGGATGACACAGCAAAGCAAAGGGCGAGCAAGCGAGCGAGTGAGATAAGTAGAGACGATGTAAACCGCGAGTAAACACGTTTTCTGACATCGCTCGTACTGTTCAAGCTCTTCAAAGTAGACACATTTGAGGTAGTATAAAGTAAGCAGAGCACGTGGTTATGTAAAGAGAGACGACTTGATTTCAATAGCTCGGGCGCGTGAAAAGTCTTTTTTGTGAAACACAACCCCAATATGAACACCTTTTATACACCGCATTTTTGCCTCCACCACGCTTATTCATCAGCACATTTTTTTATTCACATTCGTGGAGTTAGCAGAGTTACTATGAGTTATTTAAGTTAATATGGTATTAAATATGATCTTGTTCTGCAATGAAAGAAAATCTGTCATTTGCAGAGCAACGTGGTAAACATGGATCGTTATTTAGTAGTTTTATCTTTTCAATGTAAAATAAAATAAATGTTTAATTTTAAATACATTATATTAAATACGCTTCTCGTGAAATAATATGAAATACTTACACTGTACCAAATTTAGATAGTTGTTTAATTTTTGTATAAAATATTTTCTTAAAATATCAAAAGTGGCATTAGAATTTTTTTCATGAATTTTCATCTTTTGAACAATACAGTTCTATCAAATTTAATTTATAAAATTCTATTAAATCCATCTAAAATTGTCTAAAACGTATGACTTTATTATCTGTTTTTTTTTTTTTCGATTATTCGTAAGATTATTGGTAACTTCTTCTTTAACATTTATATCAGAGAAGATGTAATTTGATTTAAATTTGTAAGTCGTAAGTGACATATCCACTATACAAAATGTACTGCTACGAAAATGGTTTGAATGAATAAAATTGGTATGTTCGATCAATGACGAAATTTAAGAGCAACCCACGTAGGTAGCTGAGCGTACAACACGAAAGACCGTTCATCCGAGCGGAAGCGGGCGTCGGGTTCTTCGTAAGGTGGTGGCCCGGCAATACGAGCAACGTCAGTTGACAATATGCAGAGCGCAAGGAGGAGCGTGGGTCGACATGCGAAGGTCGCGATGCCCGAAAATCCATAACCATTCCCATTACGGGATTGCGCTTGCGCGAGAACTCGGTCTTCTCGGTCCTGAAGAAGAACAGGCTAATAGCCCCTCCATGTCGTATTTTTGGTTGATTAGAAAGCATATCCACGCAATTTGCGGAAATGCAAATAATTTTGATAATTAATTCTATGTTAAAAATCACCAATAAAAGTTAGTAAGAACATTCAGATACAATTTCGAAAAATTGCTAATAATTTCAATTAATAATTCAAAAATTTTTTAAATAAAAATATAGAATCAATAGAAATGATCGTGATTTTGTGATTATCCAGTAAAATACTTTTAAATAATTCTTTAATAATATAATCGTAATGATAAAATTTCAAAGACGTATTTAATTATACAACTCGAGTACTAACGGAACTATAGCCAAAAGTGAAATATAATTTTCTTTTTCTTGTACTTTAGAGAGGAAAGGTCGTGCTATATTCGTGAAATTAAAACGCCATATTTTTAATTTTGATTTTTTAGTATAAAAAATGCGGAACTTTTTTATTTTGGTAAGGAACTGTAGAACTATGAAAAGTACTACTGAAACTGTCATTATTTTTTTCATATTAATAGAACGTCGTGCTAACTTCACAGATCCAATCATCAATACATCTCAATTGATAATTATTCTACTGTTATAGTTACTCTGATTTAATTCCTAACATTTCTTTTACATTATCTCGGGCCTCTTAATAATAATTAATAAAAAGCATATAATAGAAAAAATTGTAATAGAATTTCTTATGAACATAGAAAGTACGATATCGACGTGGAAAAATAAATGTCGTAGTTGCTGATTCAATCAACGCTATTGTGTTACCTAATTAAGAATGACCGCGCGTGGTAAAGGCCAAGTTCTGCTCGACACGATCTAAAAAACCGAAAAATGAGATATAAAAGCGAAGTAGGTAATCCAATTAGAAGGTACAAAAACACGTTGTTTTACAGAACTTTGAATCGCTTTTAGCTTCTTGTCCGCGAGCGCTTGATTAGTTCTATTAATTAAGATGGGATGCTTCGATCTCACGTAACACGGTTTCGTTAATTAATTAATCCAATTATGTATAAAATTAATCCATTATAAAAGATTTTATAAGCAACTATTGAAGAAGATATCTTAACATTCAGAATTAAATTGCAAAAAATGCAAAAGAGGTAATTAATTTTTAACCCTGTTAATATATGAACTCGCGTTCAATATGGTCTTGTGTTTAAAAAAAATTAATTCTAAAATTGACAAATTAAAAATCAATAAAGTTATTAATCACGAAAATTATAAATCAGAAAAGAATTTAGCATAAAATATAATACTTATATTCAGTGTTCAAGAAATCGTTATTTATAACAAATTATTCATGATAAAGAGAAAATAAAAGTTATAAAATTAAAGAAATGTTAGAAAAAATGTCAATATGAAAAACAACGATCGATTTTAATTTCTCCAGGGTTCTCTCTGCCCGGGAAGTTTGCGCTGGCGCGATAACGATCAATGACGTCAAGATGCACACGTATACCGTTGTTCATTAGTGGGGATGCAAGCCCGGGCTTTAATTACAGGCTCGACGAACACGTCCGAAGTGTCACCGCGAGATCTTTCGCTTCTAATAATCCCCGTCAGTTGGCAATTAATTACTTGCAAAATGATAACGTCGCATCTCCAAGCATTGTCCGTAGCTTCGATAATAATCTTCACCGACGTACTCAAGACCGGCCTTCATATTGATTGACAGCCCTTAACGAAGATACTGATTTTTAACTTATATAGAATTTTAATCGTTTTCGAGCTTGTAAAATTTTACGTCATGTGAATTTATATTCTTCGAATTTCTCAAAACTATATTTATACATTTGTATATATTTATTAATCATATACATACACTGTTAAATCTATAGTGTCAAATTTAACTTAATGTGAGTCGTCACTGCTCCTACTAAATATATCATTATTTTTTACTAAAACGATAATTAAATTTGACATTATATAGTTTCAAATTGACACTGTACAGTGTCAAATATAATCATTGTTTTAGTATAAAATAACAATATGATTGAGTAGGAGCAGTGATTAAAATAATTTAACTTAATGTGAGTGCGACTCACATTAATCCATTAAGGACCAAGACAAATTTTTTTTCTCAAAATTTAAAATCCTTTTAATGGCAAGCTACTATGCCCTTAAGGAGCCTACTTGTCAAAAATTTCGCATCCCAAAGTTGACCTATTTTTTTGGTCGAAAAATCGATCAGCGGTTCTTAATGGGTTAAGTTAAAAATTTGACACTATAGATTTAACAGTGTAGTAATCAATTTTGTTGTCACAAATTGTTATTTGCTATTTAAATTCAAGCATAATCATTCTCCTATGATCTTATAATATAATTCTTGATACAAATCGCTGATAACAAATTTTTAAGCACGGCAAAGATGAAAGTAAAAACTCACCAATTCAGAACGTCGCGAAGAATCCCATGTTCCTAACCGTCGATCCCTGTAACAAAGATTCGGACATCACTCATTGAAATTAACGACACTTGAGGAGAACAAATGTCGAAATCAAATAATTACAAACAGGTTTGAGGGGAAACTACGTGAATCCGCTCCTTTGTTCTCCTACAGAGGACAAACGAGGAAAAGCCGTAATGACAATCACTCGAGGACAACGCAATCCTTTCACAGGGCCGAATTTATGTGCTTTAGAGCATGAAACAAAAACGTTAACCCTTTACACTCCAAATTTTTTTCGAAAATATAATGCATATTTAAACTGGCCATTTAAAAATGTCATGTGTGATTCGACATAGAAGTGCAAAGGGTTAAAATACCCTTCTCGCAAAGTATACGTACAAACAATACATTTTTCCATTAACATAAATATTCTATAAAAAATTTTTAATCATTCATCTTTGTAAATATTTGTGCCAATTATCAGACAATTTAAGCTTAAGAATTTTTCAAGGCAATATAACACGATTATTCACATTAAATAATGTGAATAAAAAATTGAAATCTATTTATTCTCAATTGGGGGGGTAGGCGGAATAAAGACCTAATTACAAAATCTTGATTTTAATAAAAATTAAAATAACTTGTTACTTTTTTATTATACACAAATGGGTACAGTACCAAAAGAATTAATGTAATGTCTTTAAGAAGTTACATGTTACAATACTTCTCTATTACGACAAATATTATATAAAAAAGCTAATCTCCGGAAAAAGGGTCTAAGTAAAATTGTACCTTTATTCCGCCCATCCCTTTAATTATTATTTAAATTTGTCAGAATATTTGTTCCTAATTTAATTAACGATAAATTCAGCGTTTTTCGCTACTTTTTAGCAAAATAAAAACTATCAAAGAACTGATAACTATTTGCTGAAAAATCTTTCTTAAAAAAGCTTAAAAAACTAAGTATTTTAATTACATAATTATACTTTTCATTCAGCTCTTAATGCAATCAAAATATTTATTTATCTCTATCTAATAAAAATAGTTGATAATTTGATATTTTGTAATTTCATTAAATAACGAAAGGATATGTTAAATATGAAATATATGTACGAATTCGACAATCTTGAGACAGAGACCGACCCTGTCACGTTACCACTCTGTCGAACTTTCGCAAATCCGCGGGGACGCGGTTGTTTTCATGGGCGCAATATCCTCTCTCCGCGTTTCCGTTTCCACCAATGAACGAATTACTTCACTGGAAAAAATGTAGTGGCCCCGAAGAGCCCTTCTTCACCCTATGGCCCCCAAACAACGTCGATGTCGTCACGATGCATATAGTCTAATTGAAAACGACGTCTCGAGGATGTAGGAACAAGGGTGAAAGCGCGAACGCGCGAGGCATGCCGAGGTCCTTGCTGAAAGGACAAGAGACTCCGAATAAAAAGGGCGTATCTTCTGGTGAAATGGTATATCGAGCAAATTGAGTTCGACGCTACTCATTCCCTTTTTTCCCCTCGTATCGCCGCTTCCTCTTGTTTGATATTTGATCAATTATGAAAATTGAACGTACACACTCTGTCGAACGTTTTCAGTGATCCAGGGAAAGTTACCTTCGTTACGTTAACGAAATAAAAGAGGCTGATTTCCTCATCCACAGTTAACAAACGTAGTTGTCAATAACAATGTTCTCGTTCAATTTCAAGCAGATTTCTGTGTTCAAAAATGTTCCCATTAAAAAATAATATAGAAAAAATTCTTTCCTCATATAATTCTAAAAAAGATTGTAAAGGAAATACTTCAATTTTTCAAACAAGCGTATTATCTATCTTTTTCAGTCTACCATTTGTTCCTATTTTTATAAAGATAATTCGTTAAATGCATATAATTGCATTTTAAAAAGAGAAATTCACACGCAAAAATTAGCTTCACATGCTTTTCACTAGTTTAATAAATTATTATTTAAAAATCATATTTTTACGTGAAATTTCATAAAATGTAAATTTGTTCAGCTATCAGTAAAGTTCCGCAGCGAGTTTACGTACCGAAATTAATCGTGTAGACGATAATTACGTTTCGATAAGATGACGCAGCGGTAATTAATGGCAAACTGCGATGAGGACGTGATTCACACGCCCGCTAATTGCTATTAGGATCTTACGACTAGAGATAACGGTTGTGTCAATCAATGGTTTCTCGAATTTTAACATTTGCTGCTAATTCCGATTATATCTATTATACCGAAAATAATCACAAATAGAATACATATGCCTTTTAATCCTAAAAGTAGCAAGCAAAAAATATTTTTAATACTCGCATACGAAAAGAACGATCTTTTGCAAAATATATATAAAAATTTAACCAAATACAGACCTAAAAATAATTTTCACCAATAGACTGTAAAAAATAAAATGTTAATTTTAACTTATAGACATATAGTCGACTTTCTGAGACACGCAAAAATGTTAAAATTAACACAAAAATATTAATTCTGTAACAGATTTAAAAATTCACTATCAAAATAATTATATAGGACTTTCAAACTGGTTGTTAGAATGTCAAAACTATTTGCAGCGCATCATGCTTGAAATTACTATGTAATTTGATGCTATGTTATTTTGATGGTGCAACAAAATTATTTTCGTATCTGTATTTAGCTAAATTTTTAAATAGTTCAGCAAAACCGTTCTTTATCTAAAAATATTTCCCTTACATATTTTAAACAAGAAAGTGTTGAGTGTTTCGTACCGCAAACTCACATACGTATCTGTAATATACAAATATGTATGCACATATATGTATGTGATATTATCTAAATTTAATCTCTTTATTCGAAACTGTAATCCCGAAACTGCGTAATTACGCATGCGTTCGTACCTTCATCGACGATTGTCGGCGACATGTCGACGAATGGGTGCAATCTGCCGCCACAACAAAACATCGATGCGAGAGCCATTGTCCAATTTAACCAAGAGCTAGTACGAAGGGGGTTGCGGGAGAATCAGACATCTATCCTTTTACAGGGGTTGGGTACACAACGTCGCAGTAATTATTTGAATTGACGTGCATCAAGTGCTCTCCCCTAACAAGACGCGATTCCAAGTGTATAATTTACAAAATAACGATATTAATACGTAATTAATAAGAAACAAAGCATTTCATAACCGTAGGCTACTCCAAGATTCTATTCTTAACTCGAATAGAAATACAGTAGAACCTTGATTATCCGACCTAATGTAGATAGCCTTAGATTGAATAATCGAAAAAATCGAACAATATAGATTATATTTTATTCTACAAAAAGATATTTTAGATAGAAATGATTTTAATTATATCTTAAGATTCCTAATCACTCACCACAAATCTTCAGATTGATGAAGAGAAGCGAGAAAACGTAATGAAAATTTTTGTAGAAGATATTAAAACAGAAATACTTTTCAATAAAACAATATTTGTATTTGATAGAGTACACTTGTAAAATATACAAAAAAATTCTCTTTTTATTTTGAAATAGAACCATATTTATTTCAATTCCACACCTGTCATATAGTTTATTGCGATTTCTAGTTAAGCATTATTCAATTTCAAATATGATATATGGTTATTTCTTGATTACTGGAACGCAAGGGAAGTTTTCGCTATGTTTTACAAATTTATTTTTTACAACTATTGTTTTATTAACAAATACTCACATTTTAATATAATTTGCAAGAATTTGCTTTATGTATTTTTTTTCGCTTCTGATGTTGCAATTCAAGATGACTATAATGAATAGGAACTGTATGTACAGGATAGCTTTGTGCATATGAAAGTGATTAGATTGACTGAGAGAATGCTCGATTACAAAGAAGGATAATCCAAAGATTAGATAATGCGAGTTCAATTAATAATCTAAATTTTACTGTAATAAGTCTTTCCTTAAAATCTCAGTAGTAAATCTTTCCTTAAGAAAACTATCAGCCTAGATTAATAAGTTTGTTTTTAAATAAATATTATTAAACACAAAATCTCATTGCGTAAGAAGCAAGTTTTAAAGAACGCAAACTCTTGATAGTGAAGTTTGCTTTAAACTTGAAACTTCAATGTAAGCTTAGTTAGCGAAATATTTAATTACAAGTCTTAAAATAAGCAGTCGTTTCTAATTCAATTCTCTCTCGCTTGTTTATTGCTTATTGTTAGTCTTCCGTTCTTATTCCTCGCATATCAGGGTTGACATTATTTTACTCACCCCAAAAAATCAAGGGGTTTTTACGTTTTATCCGCTTAAAAAAACCTGAAATTTGTAGGTTTTTGGGGGTTTTATTGGAATTTTATATAAGAAAAATAAATTTTTTAATCGGAAACACATAATCCCTGGTAAAAATTTATATAAGAAGCTAGTATGGCTTTTGCATGGATGCCATAGGTAATTTTGAGACGAAAATTTTAATACAAAAATGTCGAGGCTACAATTTATTTTTGAATTATAATTGATTAAAAATAGTTTGTAATTTAAAAACTATTATATCTCTCTCTCTCCTCAATATTTTCGTATTAGGATTTTCGTCTTAGAATGTTCAAAAGAATCCAGAAATAATAATAGAGGCTATAAAAGTAAAAATAAAATTTTTTTATTTGTAATAAAAAGATTACGGTTATATCTTAACGAAAAAAAAATTTTTATTTTTATTTTTCCAGTTCAATTTATTATTTACCTTCTGTTTCGCATGCTTATATATTCTGTATTACAAACTACAATTAATTATTGAAAAACGCATCGCATCGCCCATTTAAGACCAAAATTAGCCCAGCAATTAATTGCTTTAATGTACTTTACTCTTGTACGCGAGCCAGCACAGCCACACTGTTGGTCGAATTTTTTTACTTAAATAGTGAGTAAAAAATTCCGATTTGGGATATTCTTAGAGCAATTAATTCTAGAAACATTGTAAGACCAAAATTAGCCCAGTAATTAATTGCTTTAATGTACTTTACTCTTGTACGCGAGCCAGCACAGCCACACTGTTGGTCGAATTTTTTTATTTAAATAGTGAGCAAAAAAAT